GTTAAAACTACGAAATGTTCGATGATTGAAACAGCTGTAGTTATAACATTACGTTACTTATTAACTAAAATATGTATGTTACCCATCGTGGATGAGTATAGGCCGACCACTAGCATTTTCCAGACAACTCTGTCCTTGATAATCCTTTCCAGTTGCTATTCATTCTTTCCATATCTGCTTAGAATTCCCAACGTAATGTGTTCTTACTTATTCCTCTTCTCAGTTTCCATTCATGATTCCAAGTTAGTGAATACTTCGTGATGCAGTTTGATGGTGTCAACAATGTATCTCTTATCCACCTTCCAGAGTCTTTTCCTAATTTCCTCTTCAATTGGAAGCCGGTCTGTCCTCTCACACAGTGGGTTGTCGCTGATAGTATCAGGTCAATCAACATTGAGTATATTGTGTAGATAATCATTTATAAATACTTGTACATCTTTGATGATGGTTTTGGTGTCTTTCCAAGTTTCAGCCCAGTACAGTAGAACTATCTTGTCTTGCCAACCCTCGCCTTTACGTCTGCATAGGATGCTTCTTGTTCATCAATGATGCTGCTGTCCAGATATCTGGAACATCCCACATCTCCCAGAGTTTCTCCATCAAATGTGATTGAGTTGATGTTGTCCGTGTTGTATTTGAGGATCTTGGCTCTTGCCTTATGTATGTTGAGGCTTAGTGATGCAGAGGCCGCTGCTACACTAGTTGTCATCACCTGCGTATCTTGGTGTGTGTGTGTGTGTGTGATAGAAGAGCTAGGTGATCTACGAAGTTCAAATTGTCTAGCAACATCCAAGCTTTCAATCGCCTGATAACGTTTCTCACTTGGAATGTAACTGTTGTCTGTCTTCTATATATGACTTTTCAGCGTAGTCCGTCGTACAAATCGTTCATGATGTTGATGACCTTCTAAAGTACACCATAGTGTCGAAGAAAGTTCCATAAGGTTCACCTATCCACACTATTAAGGATGCGGATATATAGTGACGAGTTCACTCGGTCGATTGTTCACTAATGATCTGTAGTGCCGTGATTTGATTGGTACAACTGATCCCACTCTTGATTTGTCTGATGACCGGCCATCCTGATTTCTTCGATTGTTGGTGGAATGACGTCTATAGGAAGGTCTGAAAGTGTTGCTTTGATGTCCGGTTGATTCAATAGAGCCGACCTATTCAAGAGTTCTTCAAATTATTCTTTGATCTTGAATCTCAGTGATTGGATTACCTTCTTGATCATTCACTCCGGTTTACTATATTTCCTTGCCAGTTTCTTCATCGTGTCATATAGTTGTTTCTTATTTCATTCTCTTGAAGCTTTCATGATGTCATTGCTAAACCTTCTACATATTTCTACTTGTCAGCTCTGATGCTCCCCTCACTTGCTTGTTTGCTTCTATGTATTCAGCTTGTGCCTTGACTTTCTTTGTTCTTGTTCGACTGTTGTTAATTGCTGTTTTCTTGTTCTACCTTTTTCGAATCTTGTCCAGAGTCTCAATAGAGATCTATTCTTTATGATGATGCTTGTTGTGACCCGGAACCTCCTGACACGTTTAAATTAGTGCTACTTTGATCCCTTTCTAGTTATCCTCCATAGTAATTTCATATTCTTTGAAAAGATGTTGTAAAACGAGGAAAATGTTGTTGAGAGTTATCTTGAATTCGTTGAGTTTGTTAATATCTCGTGGGAAGGTTGTATTGGGCCTTTATAATGCCGTTTCTTCAGCTGTCCAATCCTTCTTTAGCTTCACTTTCATCTTAGCCACAACCAAGTGGTGATCTGAAGCTATGTTAGCTTCTCCCTTGGTTCTCATGTCATTTAATGTCCTTCTGAATTTTTTACTGAAGCAGATATGATCTATCTGGTTCTATTTGTTTTGGTCCGGTGAGACCCATGTAGCTTTGTATATGTGTTTGTAAGGGAGTATTGTGCCAACCAACTCTGTCCTGGACAGTCCTTTCCAGGTATTCTCAAATGCTATCTATTCTTTTGACATATACCTTAATTTCCTGAAGTAATGTGTTCTTTAGTGTTTTTTTTTGGGCAATACAATGCCGCCTATAACAAATTTTTAAATGCAAATAGATTGGCCATTCTCGTTCCTTCCATGTCATCCCATGTTGTCTTCATGCTCCATTTCGACTTTGGCGTTTAGGTCTCCATCAGGATGTTCAGGTCCTTTCCTGGACACTTCTCTGCGATCAACTGAAGCATCTCGTGAAACTGGTCTTTAGTGTCATCATTGTTATCATTGGTAGGTGCATAGCACTGGATAAAATTCATTGTGATTCCCTTCTTCTTTGTTTTGAATGATGCTTTGGTGATTCTTAATCCAAGAAGTGCATTTTGTGCTTCTTCGAAAAGTATAAGATCAACTCTTTGAGTGTGTGGGTCATTTTATTCTTCATGATCAGAGTACACCAACATCTGTTCAAAATCTAATCTTTTCTGTCCAACTTGAGTCCAATGGGTTTTACTGATTCCGAGAACCCCCAAGCTATATATCCCCGATTCCATGGCTATTTAATTAGTCCTCCCGGTATCTCATTCTGTAAATCTTTCGGAATTTGAACATATAAATTAGAATGTTTTATTTGAAGCACAATTGCACTTCCATGAGAGTCAATAACTTTTGAACAAACTTATTCTGTTGTAAACTATTCTTTCTGATTCCGACTATGAATGGCAGTTTATATATATATAAATAAGTTGAATTCCAGGAGCATAATTACATTTATTTTCACATAAAATATCTAAAAATCAAGTATACATTTAGCTTGGGAGAGATTTCTTTTAAACTTATTGGAGCAACGGGTCCAGGATATATCAAATAAATCAGTAAAAGGAAGAGAGTCGATATGTATTTGAACAAACATGTGTGATCGAGTAAGCACACGAGTTTATAATGTAAGACACTATTTATTAACTATGATCATTTAGAACCAATAAGACGACAAATAAAGGTAAACGAATGAAATCCAAACATTTATACGTCAATGAGAATATAAACAACTGATCACTCTTTTGAGTAGGGATACTTATTAAATGCGTTTTTTATCCATTCATAGGGTTAACATTAATTGCACGGCCATTTTTTCGAGTGAACGTTTTTTCATCCCCATCTTCCAATAATTTTCATTCTATCAGTTTATGGGTTGTGGAGATTGTTAAGTTTTTGATTGAAATCATGAGACAACTGTAGCTAGACCACCATGGGAAACCTGGAAGCACTGGACGGCCGTTTCGTCCTAGTATGGGACTCCTCAGCAGTGCGCATCCACGATCCCGCACCCCGCGAGATTCGAACCCAGAACCTATCAGTTTCGCGCCAGGCGCTTAACCAACTAGACTACTGAGCCGGCATACAATGGTGTTAATGTCTAACCTCAACCAATCCACTGCTGAGGAGTCCCATACTAGGATGAAACGGCCGTCCAGTGCTTCCACGTTTTCCATGGTGGTCTAGTTTCAATTGACTCATGATTTCAATCAAAAATTTTCATTCTGTTTCGTTCAATCAAATAGCTAGTTTTAAGTTCGTTATAATTGGTTGATATAAAATGTCAGAACTTGACGATAGAGCGCATTTTCTTCCAATTATGGCCGTGCAATTAATGTTAACCTATTCATAGCAAGGTTGTTGGTATGTGTACTTCAGTGGAACAGGATTGTTACACTTTCTTTGAGTCTGTTGTAAAATCATGAGCAGCTATACAATAAATTATTCATTATTAAATAATTCATGCCCATTTAATTACTAAAATTGCAAAGTTACCTATTTGGTTTTGTATATTCTCATTACTTATCACTAATATGATCAAGTGGGACGTGAAAATCACATTTGTCTAAGAATAGATCACAGAAATGAAAAAAATTAAATCATTTTAATGAATAATGACATAACTAAATGCTTTACAGTATTTTTCTTAGCCATTTTCATCAAAACTTCTTCTGTTCAAAACAAGCTAGCGATTGCCCTGTTCTTACTTGATCTGAGAAATTTTAACAGAAAATCATACCAATTTCTAGGTAGTTTGGTAATAGAATCCAGGTTGCGTGTTTCATCCTATCTGAAACTGGTTATTTGGATGTCCCTGAACTCGTGTTAATATTTACATAGGACTCTGAATTAAAACCCTTCGCTCCAAAAGCCAAATCACGATCTAATTCTTCCCATTTAATAAAAACAGTTGCTTATCTACTTTTTATTTATCCTTCATTATTTATATATTTAGACAGATTATTCATATACTTTGTATCATAATAATATAAATGTTATCATTTTACTTTTATTAGCCATGCCATTACTATCACACTCGTAATCTTTCTGTCAATTCTCACCTCTTATTTATCCCGGTAATATTGACTTATTATCCAGAGTGATTAAGTTTCAAAGTGTGTTCAAATTATTATTATTACTCTTATTATTAACCTTATCTCCTCTTACCCCATTTCCAGTCTAATTGACCTTTTATTTTTATATATAAATGTTCTTAACAAGTGTACTATGTGTGATCAGATTGCTCGAAATGTATTACAATAATATATCATCACATAGTTCAGATAATCTTCATCTTCTTATTACATTATCAAAAGTTATCAGAGACTAATTTACTTTAAGTCATCGTTTTGGTTTAAAAGTGTTCTGTTCGTGACTATTTTGTTAACATCACCTTGACCATTTTGTAACTACTTAGCTTCGGTCGTATAATTTGTTTCCAGGTCATATTCTTCGCACGACTAAGTTGTTCGACTAACACATTTCAGCATATCAAACCAATTTTACCAACCACAAGCTGAATATGTAATATATGAGAGTAACCAATCATGTTTATCCAAGTCCATCACCTGACCTACCTATGTTTTCGCAAGTGGAATACACCGTATTCTTATTGGTTTTCAAGTACCGTAGGCGTTTCTGCCTTCTGATTGGTTTATTTAAAATTGGCCTTCTAGTTTAATCCTATAAATAACAATGCGTTATTTGACTGGATGTATAGATCTAATACCTTATGGTTGCTTTGTGGTTCGTTTCCTTGTTGTTGGTTTGCCTTGTACATTCTGAACCATATAAGGATTGTGGTAAGTGTATGACTGGTTTGTACCGTAGAAGTATAGCTTTAATTTTCCCCAAAAATGCTTTTACACTTAACGAGAATATAGTGTAGCCGAAAATTATAAATAACGATTAGATCACTTACATTAGTTTATTCGTTTAAATGCTGCCAACACTGTAGAATATATTGTGATAAAGAGTAATCAGATTTGTACCAACTATAAAATGTTAAGATTGTTCAGTGCGTACTCTAGTGCCAACGAATTGACCTCCACTCAAGTGAGAGAGAAAACAGTGGTCACACTTAGAAGTATTGTATTTTGTAATTCGAATTAAGGGCAAACTAATGTTTTTAAAGACTATTTACCTACAATTGAATTTAGTTAGAAACGCCAATGTGCTAATACATTTTGATTCGATGACATAAACTATTACAGTAAGCCCATAGAATAATTTTTATTATTTGTCTAATTGCTGTAATTTGGACATTTGACCCACTATACAAGATTATGTATGAATCTCATTGAACGCATCAATCTTTATCCTCTCATTGGTTGTAAACACAGACAATCAACAATTTACCCACAATCGATCAACACTCAAAATATATATGAATTCTTCAACATACTTTTTGCTGTATGCTTTCTTTCTGCATGCTTGCGGATTTTATCAATTATTAACAACACACTATCCTTACAACTGGTGTTCTGGCTTTTGAATAATCTCGAGTAAATTCATAATACTAGTAGGAGATTTGGCTTGCGTAAATACTAATTTAACGGGATATTATATATTGGAGTCAAATATAGAGAAATTATCTTCTACATTATACTACCGAATGACCATGAGGACTTAACCCTTTCTAACCCAGCGAAAAACAACAAGTGTAAATGAACGAGGTATTTTCCCTGGATTAAGAATTACGATGTTGGATCTTCAAAAGCTTGTACAGAAAGTCCTACTTCTGACTTGACTTCTGTGACCGTATAACCACCTCTATGTTGATTGGTTTGTAAGTATACTTTATGTTAACTAACCTATTAGACGTTAGAATTGATAGGTTCAATTGCTAGTCATTTGAATATCAATAGGTTCTGTTAAGTCAGCCAGGTATTATTATAAACCCACATTACAGATTGTGCCCGAGTACACACACCTGTACTTGGTAAAAGATTTGAATTTTTTATTTTAAAAAGTTAAATATGTAAGATGATTACTAGACTTCATTACCTTTTATCATTTTAGAAATCTATGATAACATTACAGCTACTAGGGAATTTTTTCACAATACAATAAGGGACCTTTGTAGTATGTATCAGTGATCTCTACATTCTCAAAATAAAATGAGACGGTTGCCTACTCCTAGCAGTCATAAAAATGTAGGACCTGGCACATGTGTATATCATTCGAAATCTCTGTACGTTCTGTTAGTGGGATTAAAGCATTCCATAAACACAGCAAGTCAGTAGGATAGATCATATACGCTGAAATAATTTTTAATGGTTATTTCATTAAACATCACTTTCAAATTTATCAGAGATGGTCGACCTGTTGACTATTTGAGTTTATTTCGCCATTATTGTTTAATATTTCTGTATTAGGATCTAAAGTTGGAAAATTACATTCACTAACTGTAACACCATGTGACAGGATACCATGTGCGTTATATAAAGGTCGAAACGCCACTATTACAATTGGATTCAGTACCCGTAAGTTATTTAATTACATGTTTAATGCCTTTCATTCAACAATTTCGTATCACTACTAATATGTTGGTTGTTTTAGAGTACACAACATAGATCTAATGATTATCTAGTAACTGAAACTGGTTGGATGGATAAATCAATTTCTGAACTTGGGTCACATTATATGCACGGAAATTATTGAAAGCCTACTGAAAGTAAGAGCCAAAAAAGGATGTTCATTCCGACTCATGTCAAACTCTATATGGAGAGTTGTAGCAAACTTAAGCGTAGATTATAACAGTTGATTTTAAAGATGAAACTTCAGCGATTACAAATACAATAATGCCAATACTACACTGGCCATTCTAGTCCTAGTTTCTTCAAAGTTATCGAAGGTCAATAAAACAGCTCTGTATCAAACAATCGACCAATCATATTCAAAAGTCGTGTTTAAATTATTCACTGTGAAGTGTGTTCATGTTGTAATACATGAAAATATGTATGTCATTCTTATTCGCGACCATCTCAGGGATAGATGCATGTTACATATGTGGTCGAGCTGTATCATTTACCAATCATATCAGTGAACATATATAAATCACTAATCCCTTGAAAGAAACTTCACAAAATTTGCATTATCTGAATATGAAGAGAAAGTGGACAATGCCTGGAAAGGTTTGTGTAGGATATAGCGTGAGAAAAATTTTGTACGTAGATTTATGATCCCTACTACAATATGTAAGTTTACAACATTCTTAGCTTACATTTTTTTGTTTAATAAGTAACAGCACAGTGCAGGGATCATATCGGAATCACTTTTACTCGGATAACAAATTGACCTCCCCCCGCTTGTATTCTCAATGACTGCTTTGGGTAACAAATACTTAGAACGTCTAGAGGATATGAAAATGAGTGAAATACTATCAAGTATTATCTAATAAATGTATGGATAAGTAAAACAATCGAATAACACAACATGACAAGTAGGTATCACAATTCCACCTTAAAGACTACAGTCCTCAAACCAATTATGGCAGTTGCAAATGAAGAATATAAATTATCAACTTCCCAGATTAATAAATAAATCCATTTTATATCATTACGATGTTATGTTTTGAATTCAGACTTGTGACTAGTTCACTTTAATGGCTAATTTGTTAATTTACCTAATCTGAATACATCCAAAGTAAAAACATTCAAGTTTACCACTTTTGTACTATACTACTATTTCTCTCTTAACTACAGAAGAGACTGTAAAAGATGGTCATATTTCTGTACATGGAGTGATTGCACATGTACCAGTACCATTTCCACTTGACAACTCAGAATTATGCAACTTTGTCAGTCCAGTGTGTCCTCTAATTCCATCTATAGAGAACTATACACACACGTATTCTTTGTATGTTAGCACATCATATCCATCGGTAAGTTAAATCAAATTTATCGTTTACTTTGCATCACATGCACATATTTAAGAACAGTGTTTCATCTGCGGACACCTATTGTAATTAGTTAAGTATTCACCATTTGTAATACACCAAATTGTCGGTTGATAAATGTATGTAGCGTTATCGAGGAATTTGTTTGCTGGCATTATAAGCTACACACAGTGGGATGGCGGGTTTGAACCACTTAACCATAGTTTTGATAACCGTCTCACCTATCTCACCTTGTTTAAGAGATTTAAAGTGTAGTGATGGATCACACATCTCAGGTACCCACACCATGGATAGACGTTTATTCTTAACGAGCGCAAAATGGATAACTGGATCGGTATTGATGATCGTTTTGATCCGAGCATGGTCATAGATATCAAAGAACAGTTACTGAAGTCCCGTCATATACAGTGCATTTTAGTAGTTATTTTATTATAATCGCCTCTGTACTTTTCAAACCCCCTGTATTTAAAATCCACAAACCAATAAAGGGTATCGTATTTCTAGAGCCAACTATTCACACCTTAATTTTTTTAAAAAGACGGAATCTCCAGGGAAGCTAGTTATCCGTAGAGAACGTTTAACTTCTGCATCATTACAGTATGTACACCAGTTAATATACTGATATGAATTTGGCTTCGAATTTTACATATGTAACTTTTTGTCTCATCACTCTTGCAGACTATTCCCCTTACAAGTATGCTTTTTAGGGAAAAATCTTAAACATCGTCAACATATAGCTCGGCACAAATGTGCGTTAGCCCAAGTTGCCATACGTAACTGGCACAATGTGCTGAGAATAACAAGCGATCAAAATAGTGTAGTAGCAATCATAAAAAGAAGGGCTTAACCTTAGGAATATGGTTTAAAAGGACAGAGTGGGAAAACGTATATATGAAAGGATACTGAAATTCAAGATCGAGAGGAAAATGAGGAGTGGAATGCATCTATGTCATTGTAAATAGTTCTGACTTCTCTAGCTTGTGATTACAGTTGGGGTTATTAACCAACAAGGTAGTCTATGTCCATCAACATAGTTTAGACTAATAGTCAGTGATTTCGCTGACTGATGCCACGTTTTGGTTTAGTCGTTTCTTTCTTTCTGCCTACTCCAGCACTAACAAGAAGTGCTCGTCGAGGTAGGTGGTGGTTAAGCTTGCGTGATACATGTCCCAACCAAATCAGTCGATGGAAATTCACTACGTCATCTACCTGTTTGACACCGGCAAGTACCCTATATCTAACCTCAACATTGCTTACTTGGTCATGTCATAAAAGGTGAACAATGTTTCGAAGACATCTGCGACCAAAACTTTCGAGCCTACGCATATTCTCTACTTTTATAGATCACGTTTCATAGTTATCAGATAGGAAATAGTGGATCTCTGACCAGTTTACCCGCCCATTGGTTGGTAGATTGACATCTCACTTGCGCCACAAGTGACCCAAGTTGGCAAACACCAACAGGACTTCCTGAGTCTGTATCGACATTTCATCAGACACCGACCCACCGGAGGCTGACGAAACTTACAATATAAGTGAAGTGATCGGGAATTAATTACTTCACTTCTTATCACTATTTCAAGCATTGACTTAGACCAATCCTAAAGCAACATTTTGGATTAATAGGGAACGGAACGCATTCCGAACATGCTAGTGTTGCTGTTCAAGGCGTCTGAAGAGACTGGATTTGTGTATTCTAAATTGATAAGCCTAGTAGGAGATCGACCCTCCAAAAGTTAATTAAAGAAACTTTTATTGATAGGAGGAAATCGATGCGTAAAATGGGAATACTGTGGATCCCTGTGGTTAAGAGTTCGCCATACGAACAATTTGTGGTGGTCGGTGTTCGATATAATCATTAAACTTCGTATACAGTTCGTCTTGATAACCGTCACTAGATAACTGCCCAACGGTATATTAATCAGAAGGCCACACACAGATATCCAAAATTACAGATTCGTTAAACAAGCATGAAAGAGCTGTGCCGAAAGGCAAGCGAGTGAGTCAGCGAATATAAGTACGAGTGAGCGAGTACAATTAAGCGAGAGAGAGCAATGAACATGAGTAACATGGACATATATATACATAGTGAGATGTATGAATCATCGAATCAATTAAGCGGTTAGTAGTAAGGCTGGCAGCGTGAATAGATGCGTAGGCGATAGCATTGCTCAAGCATACATGTTCATACATTCGCAACAATAATAAAGATACAATGATATAGATAAGTTATTGTTGTACAGGTGACTCAGTTCGTTAATAAGTTAACAAAATGACTTGATCGAATTAAATATGAACAAACTCAATTGCACATGAGTTGCTATAAATTCCTCAAAACTATTGAACTAGTCTTTGCGTAACTATACTAAAATAGGTGAAACTCAGTCTTTGGAAACTCGATGTGCTACAGAAATACAGACTTTATACTATTGAGGATGCCACAGGTATTTGGAGTTTTGACAACGCTTTAACCATTAACACCTAATATGAATCGTACCCACCAAGTGTTTTAATTTACGGCAGCGAAACATGGCCATTAAGAGTAGAAGATACTCGTAAGCTACTAGTATTTGACCACAGATGCCTTAGAAATATTGCTGGCGTCTGCTGGGATCACCGGGTAAGTAATAGTGAGGTTAGACGCAGGGTTTAGGGAATGATGGTAAATCAGTTGATGAGGTTGTGAATCTTCATTGACTGAGATGGTTGGGCCACGTGTTACGTATGCCTGAACACCGATTACCACGTCGTGCAATGCTAACCGGTGTTGGAGATGGTTGGAAGAAAGTTAGAAGCGGCCAAACCAGTGCTTGAAGTCACTAACTTCTAATCTGAGCCATGTTGGTAGATGCAGACTACTTGGTTGGGGTCCGCGTGACTATCGTAACCAATGGTAAGATACTCTTGGTGACATGGCTCGAAATCGATCACAATGGCGTAGGTGTATACACTCTCTGTCTTCCCTTAAACTAAGAGATTTAAATCGCTTCATATCTTTCTTTCTACGAACTAATTCTTTCTTTCTGTACTATATCCTTATTACAATCTTTCTTTTATATATTACTACAAGTGAATTAACTACTTTTATGAATCCGGTGTCCATCTTGTTGTGCTAATGAGATACGGCAACTTGGACCGATGCATATATGTGCCTGGTCCTACGTTGTAGCCGATTGACTGACTGACCCACCAAGTGAAATCAAAAGATAGAAGAGAGGAGGTTCGAAGATATACTTGATAGGCTATCAGTATATCGAGAATCGACTGATCTAATCTGGCTAGCGATCGCAGGGGATGTTGAGCACGGTGATCTGGTGCGGATACATGACCGAGCTCCTTCAGCTAGGTGAGCCTGTTAAAACAAATGTGGTCAGCATCCAATGTCGAAGACTTACAGAGCTATTGATTTTGGAGATTTATTTACCACTACGCTATCAGCACAACGAACATACAACCGAACAGTGAGAAAGGGGTAAAACAAATTAAATAATGTGAAATAGTCACGCTTATAAAAGAAATATACGTTCAATATTGATAATTCAATAAAGACGGGTCACACCAAGGTTAAACTGCGTTATAGACCATAACTGTTAACTTTGCTTTAACTGTCCTTTACATATTTCATGATTCTTCCAATTCTGTTATTATTTCAGTTACACTATGTTTCCCTCCCTGTTCTTTTCAATTCAACATTATTCTGGCAAGCATTCCAATTCCAATTGCCGTTAAGTACTACTTATATCTGTCAGCATAAGTAGCGTACACCACAGTACAATCAGCTAATGAGAAACCACGAAATTGTCATTTTCCTCTTATATGAATCCATAAAGGGGATTAATTGTATAGAATTCAGTCATATATTTGATTAAAACACGAGCAGTGGTACTATAAATTTATTAGGTATCCGAATTTACAGCTTCGTTGCTTTGTTCGTACCTAGTAAAAACATAGTTTGCATTTCTAATGATATCAGCTAATAGACAGCAATTTAATGATTTCTTAATCTTAAGTTCTCCTCTTTTCAGATATCTTTAACCATCAGATGGGAATTACAAGATAGTTCAAATGAAGATATAGTTTGCGTTGAATTCCCTGTTCAACTTATATAAAGTACAATGTATAATGTAATTCATTCATTAGTTTAGTTAGTGTATAACAAACCATTTATCTTATTTTGCAATAAATTATGACAATGAGAAAAGAGGGACAATCATAAACTTCTGAAGACTTATTTTTCATTCTTATTTATCAGGACAATTCATTGTTTGTTTATTTTTAATAAAAAAAAGACAGACAATAATAACTATTTCTTACTGATTTCATCTTTGATGCATTTTGTTTGATTGATTAGTAAAAATCTTTCTGATCAGAGAAGGGTTTAGTGGAGATTGTAGTAATTTAGTAGTTGAATTATTGAGTCAACTGAAGCTAGACCAACATGGAAAATCTGGAAGCACCAGAAGGTCGTTTCATCCTAGTATGGGACTCCTCAGCAGTGCACATTCATGAACTCGCTTCGTGATATTCGAACCCAGGACCAATCGGTCTCACGCGCGAACGCCAAACCTCTGGCTTCAATTAACTCATAAATTCAACTAGTAAATTACTACAATCTCCATAAGACCCCTTTCTGACAATAATCATCATATGCTCACTAGTGACTGTCTCGAAAAGGTATTTCCTTGAGATTTAGTAATAAGCCGTGACGAGTGGAATTTAACCAGGTCTGTTGTGAGATAGTAACTGACTGAAGACAATGGTGGAGAGTGGGTGTTATGGCTTTAAGTTGCGGTCGATTTTTACCCTGTGCTAATTGTTGTGTCCTTGACTGGAAAATTATAGAGCAGCGTACTTATCGATCGATTACAGTGACACGTAAACACGTACGGACGGCCTAGAGTCTCGATTGGTCTCGCTTCCCTGTCTAGCCCAGTCAGTTGAGTCCAGAACACAAGCCACAACCTGAGATATGAATCATCATACTTCAAACATACTCTGTTTATATACCAATCAAGCATACCACATCGTACCATAAAATAGAAAACAACATTTTGTACAATATTCAACAAGTGAACAGATATCAACCAATAGGAAATGTCCATTTAAAGTCCAAGGACACCATTGGACTTAACATGATAATTATTGGTCTATTCCTCCGCATCCACAACAGTGGGGCAATTTCGTGGATTGGTTGAAGTTAGACATTAACACTGATGGATTCCGTGTAGAGGTTAAGCGTTGGTGTGCGAGACCGACAGTTCCTGTGTTCGGATCTCATGGGTTGGGATCGTGGATGCTGAGGAGTCTCATACTAGAGTAAAACGGCCTCCATTTTTTCCATGGCTGTCTAGCTTTCATTGACTCATGAATTCAACTGTAAAAAATCTTTCTATTATTAATACATAAATAATGGATTAATATTGTTTTATCAGAATGGGGTTTGTGGAGATTTTTACAGGTTGAAATCATGAGTCTATTCTAGTTAGCGTATTTTTTTTAGCGAAGTTGTTTCCTACGGCAATACAATGAACAAGTTAGATGCAACTAAACTATTTGAACCTCGCAGATCACCTAGCTCTTCTATCACACACACACACACCAAGATACGCAGGTGATGACAACTAGTGTAGCAGCGGCCTCTGCATCACTAAGCCTCAACATACATAAGGCAAGAGCCAAGATCCTCAAATACAACACGGAGAACATCAACTCAATCACACTTGATGGAGAAACTCTGGGAGATGTGGGATGTTCCAGATATCTGGACAGCAGCATCATTGATGAACAAGAAGCATCCTATGCAGACGTAAAGGCGAGGGTTGGCAAGACAAGATAGTTCTACTGTACTGGGCTGAAACTTGGAAAGACACCAAAACCATCATCAAAGATGTAGAAGTATTTATAAATGATTATCTACACAATATACTCAATGTTGATTGACCTGATACTATCAGCGACAACCCACTGTGTGAGAGGACAGACCGGCTTCCAATTGAAGAGGAAATTAGGAAAAGACTCTGGAAGGTGGATAAGAGATACATTGTTGACACCATCAAACTGCATCACGAAGTATTCACTAACTTGGAATCATGAATGGAAACTGAGAAGAGGAATAAGTAAGAACACATTACGTTGGGAATTCTAAGCAGATATGAAAAGAATGAATAGCAACTGGAAAGGATTATCAAGGACAGAGTTGTCTGGAAAATGCTAGTGGTCGGCCTTTTCTCTCCTATTAGAGGGTAAGAGACGTAACTAAGTGATAATAAACATTAAATTTTAATTATACAATATTTGTATTTAAATAAAATATTTAAAATAACATTGATTCATTCATCTATCACTACAGTTCATAGTCATTGTCATTCGTTATATGAACTGTAAATATGCATCACTCAGATGTCATCTAAATCAACGTTATATTTTATACATGCCTATTATAATCATATACTGTATAATGTTTGTGTATTGTTTGTCTCAGTTAAGAAATAAATCAATAATACCTAAATAAGGGAAAATCAATCAGTGAGTTTCGAAGTAATTTCAACTGAATTATATTGTATATATGTATCTGTGTATGTCTGTAAGTGTGTATGTGTGTGTAATTAACCATTAACCATTTTTTGAACAATAGCACCAGGGAAACTGTATAGAAATAAGAAGACAATTAAACAAACCAAGAATATGACAAAGATTTTGATCAATATCCACTTTAAACGATATTTGACTAAGTAACGAAGAGTATTCAATGGTCCAAGGAATTTCATAAATGATGCATCTGGTCGACTAAATATAAAATAAAATAAAAACGATGAATAATATTTAATTTTGTCAAAATCAATACAAATTGAATACCATGATCAGACCTAAATTATGGATACACTGAAGACTAGAGAATACTAGAAAACTGTTCCAGTTTAGTAAAAGACTATTAACCATTAGTCATTCACAATTTCACAGGAGATCAAACCCCATAACCTTTAGTTTCACGTATAGACGCTTAATTTTTAAACCACTAAGATGAAATTCCATATCAGTCAGTCAGTAACAACGTAGAACTTCGTACGTACGTACATCAGTTTGAGTTGACATACCAAATTAGCACAGAGATTCAGTTGTCGATTCGAATCCCGTAGTGGTAGAGGTACTATTAATTATATTCGAAAATTAATTAATTTAATCAAAACAGTTTACTCTATTCAGAAGTAGTTAGATAATTAAACCGGTTTATAATATTTTGAAAAAATAATTCACATGCATCATTTTATAATTCAATTGTGGATGTCATAAATTTGGCAATAAACTAGAACTTAAAAGATAGACGATTTCGTGAAACAAATAGGGCTATTATCCCTATCACTATTGTTTGCATGGGTACAATTAAAATGATCAACATCTTGTCATCAATATGGTAACACGTTTTTAAAAAAAATTCGAAAATATTCGATATGAAATTTTTTCACTTGTCAAATATTGTGTATTTTTGTAGTTAGAGTATGAGTCAGTCAGTCAGCCAGCTACAACGTAGGACCAGGCACATATATGCATCGGTCCAAGTTGCCGTACCTCATTAACACAACAAGATGGACACCGGATTCATAAAAGTAGTTAATCCACTTGTAGTAATATATAAAA